TCGCCGCCCCCGGTGCCCGCACCTGCCCGCCGCACCGGGCCGGGGCGCGGTCCCCGCTTTGTCTGCGCCGGGCCGGCACGTGCGAGCGCCGGGACCCGTCGGCCCCGGGAGTCCCCGGCTCGGCCCGGTCCGACCCCCAGCCGGGCAGCGAGAGCGGGGAGCGGGGGATTTCGCGCACGACGGGGAGGGCCCCGTGGGGCTCCCCGGTGCTGGGCCCGCCACCGGTTCCTCGCCATTGTCTGGAGCAGGAGCCGCGGGCAGGGGCGCCCGGGGGACGGGGGATGGGGAGGAGATCGGGACGCCGCCAGCCCGGCCCCGGTTCCGACCGGCCCCACCGGTATCCCGGCAGCGGGCGGTCCCGCTGCCCGGCGGAGCGAGGCCTGAGGCCGCGGGGGCACCGAGCATCCCCCGCCGGTCCCGCTACCCTCAGATTCCCCTAAGCTCTTGAGCTGCCACATCCCTGGGCACCCCTGGGGGGTCGTGGTGCTTCGGCCCGGGATTGCACCCCCGGGCCGGGATTGCTGCTGAGGAGGGGAGGGGAGCGGCTCTCTCCACTGGGACCTCCGGCCGCTCGCCCTGCCCGCACCCCGGTGCGGGGCACCCGGTGTCGGGGCCGGCTGGATCCAGGCCCGCTGCAGGGAGCATCACCCACTGCCAGCCCACCCGCATCTCCCAGCCCAGCCGGGCGCCGGGAGGCTGGCTGGAGCCATCTGCCCCGCCATCCCCTCCCTGCCCTCCAGGGTGCCTCCTGCATGCAGGATGAGAATGCTGCCGGCACGCTGGGGCGCATCTCGCTGGGCAGAGCCGGGGCGCTGGACGGAGCGGGGTGCTGGCTGCATGCTGTGCATGATGCCTTTGGTGGGGGGCGGACGGGGGGGGTTACTGTGCGCCCACCATCCAGCCAGGGGCACCCACCGCCCCTCCGGGATACACCCACCACCCATCCGGGGACTCCCACCTCCCAGCTGGGCTGCACTCACAGCCCAGCCGGTCAGATGGCTACGTCTAAGCTGGTCCCTACTCTTAGGACAGGGCTGTGTGGGCCTGGGCAGGTCCAGGTCCCCGGCAGCCCCCCGGGGGTCTCCGGAGGGCCCCACAGTCCCGCTGTCAGCCCAAGGGCCCTGTGGGCAAGCGCCGTGTGTGTTGCCGGCCAGGCGGCAGCTGTCAGCCCTGAGTACATCTCGCTTCCCGGCATCCGCTGCAAGGAGCCGTCCCTGCCAAAGCTGCTGAGAGCAGCAGAATCGGTTCCCGGGAAGGCGAGTGCTGGTGGCGGCTCCCCCCCACACACCTCCAGCGCTGATCCCGGCCAGGCAGTGATTCCCTGCCATCCCCATCCGCGGGGCTGAGTTTGCTCCATCGTCCCCAGTCGCTCCGTCGTCCCCAGCCACTCAATCCCATTTTCACCGGAGTGCCTGGCACTCCGAGAGAGCAGCATCCCCTCTGCAGGGCCCGCTGCGGGGCTGAGGGATCAGGGGCGATGCTGGTGGGGCTGCATCGGGCAAGGTGATGGGGACAGTCCCACGGGGAGGAGGGCCCAGCCTGGCTTGGGAGCTGCTTGGGAGGACACTGTGCCAGACCCTGGCCCTGGGCCGGTAGCGGGGAATAATACGCTCTTGCCCGGCTGGGATCCCTCTGTTTAGTCTGGGATTCCCCCTGCTCCAGCCCGGTCCTGGAGGGTCCGAGCATCCCCTCCCCCTGCCCGGCCCCGCGAAGGCTGCTGGGGCCCATTACTCGATCGGAAAGGAATTTGGTGCTGCTTTCTGAGCACGCCGACTCCCTGGAGCTCCCAGCCACATTGGAAACACATGTGCCGGGGCTGGGGCGGGAGGCTGGGGCGATGTGAGCCCTCCCTGGCCATGGCACGGGGGGTGGGCTGCCGCGGGAGCCCCGTTCTGGCACCCGGGGATGCCGCTCTGCCCACTCCGGTGAGCAGCGGGGCCATGCGAGGGCAGCGGGGCTGCGGTCTCTGGTTGTGGTGATGAGGCATCCTCAGTGGAGCCCCACGGCTGCAGGGAGCCCCCCCGGGCTGCACGGGGCATCTCCACCCACGGGTGACCCACATACCTGGAGCCCGGGGGTGGGAAAGGGCTGTATGGGTTGGGTGGAGGGATTAAAGCCCATGGAAGCGAGGTAAGCAACGCATGGTGCTGACAGCACCCACTGTGACACAGCTGGTCCCCACTGCCGGGGGTTGTGGCGATGCTGTTGGGCTGTGGGTCCCTGGGGGCACCCCTGGGGATGCTGCTGGCCCCAGCATGGCTTCCCTGTCTCCTGGAATGGAAACCTCCATCCTGGCGTGGAGTCAGGCTGTGCTGCTGAGCTCTGTCCACAGCAAGCCCCATCTGCCCTGGGAGCACCCCTGGGTTCAGGCAGCAGCCTTGTGCTCAGATACCACCCATCACGGCAGGGTTCTGGGGAAGAAAAGCAGGCAGTGGGTGCCCCCAGCACCCACAGGGCTCCCCAGGCAGTGATGCTGTGCCTCTGCCCTACTTCTTTTCTCCTGTCTGCTGCCAGCTGTATCCCACCCTGCCAGCTTCCAACCCGCTGCCCTGGGCTCCCCCAAACTTCTGCCGTCCTCTCCCATTCCTGGGGGATCAGGGGCTGCATTTGCCACCCTTCCCTGTCACAGCCATCTCAGACGGCACTTTGCAGCTGTTCCAGGCCTGGAAGCTGGCGCCGGCTGGGGCGGCCGATTAGCGGGATCGGGATGTGCGGATTAGAGTCAATCTTGTTGGTGCAATTATCTGCGGCTCCCTGCCAGGGGCGCGGGGGGCGGCGGGTGCTGGAGGCAGAGGGAGGCTCTCTTCCTCTTAGGCACCTGCCTGCTTTCCCCCTGCTTTTTAGTTCCAGCCGTGGCCCTGTTTTGGGGGTGGATCTGCCCGTAGGAACGCTCGATTCCTGTTCCCCAGGCTGTGGATTGAAGCTGCAGGCTTGAGTGAGGACGGCTTTGCTCGGCACAGCGGGGATTTTGGGGCTCTGGGAAGCGCCGTGCGGGCACCACCAGCCGAATGCTGATCGGCAGGGCCGCCCACCCGCGGCGGTGCAGGGATGTGGGGGATCCAGCACGGGCGGCCCTGGCTTTCCGGGTGCAGCGCGTGACGGTGGCAGGGAGGTTTGGGTGCCTGCCAGGCCCCGCAGGTCCCCACTGCCTGCCTGCCTCCCCCGCTCCCCTCCACTAATCACCTCGTCATCGGGGCGAGCTGCATCCCAGCTGGGATGGGGGGGGTTGCCATGGTGATGGAGGATGCTGGTTGCCTAGTGACATCCATCCCCTCGCCCACCCGCCCTGGACCAATTTGGCATGCGTGGTCCCCCCTCCGTTGCTGGCTGTGTGCCTCTGGGGAGGTGCTGGCTGGTGGGGGTCCCCACGGAGCCCCCAGAGGGGCTGGCCAGGGCATGGTGGGAGCGACAGGGGGTTTCCCATCAGCTGGGAATGGTTTCCAAGGAACAGTCTCCATGACGGCCCCATCACACTGGCGGCTCATTGATTTGCTGCTGCTGGTGCTCCAGTGTCCTCCCCCAGCCTGGTGCCTGCTGGGCTGGTGGCTCACGCAGCCGGGCACGTGAGTGGACCCGGGTCCTTCCTGGGGCACAGGGTTCTCCCCAAACCTGGTCAGTAGCTGGAAGGGTTGTGAGGGGACAGGGACGGGCAAGCAAGTTCCTGTGAGACTGTGTTGGCTTGCAGCACGGCAGTCAGTGTGTCCCTGTGCCCAAGTGACTCTTCTGTCCCCAAACCTGGGACCCTTCCCCAGAGCTGCCACCAAGGGTTGGGGAATAGGCCCTGCCCCACATCCTGTCTGCCTTGCCTGGCAGTCTGGCTCTTGGTGCCATTGATGGACAAGGGGTTGTTGTGGCTGTGGCTGTGTGCTAGTTTTGGGACAAGCAGTCAGACCCCAGGACATGTCCTGACCTCAGTGTACACGGGACGAGGAGGTTGGGGGCTGCCCTATGCTCCTCCTGGCTTTGGCTCACCCATGGTATCTCCCCAGGGCCCTCTACACATACGAGGATGGCTCTGATGACCTGAAGCTGGCAGCGTCGGGAGGTAAGGTCCTCTGTCCCCTCCGCCGGCTCGCCTGTGCCGGTGTTTCCCCTGTCACCCGTTCCTGGTGCTGGGTGCACGTGGGCTGACGGTGCTGTGCCAGGTGGAGGTTTGCTGGAGCTTTCTGGCCACTTTGAGATTCAGAAGGTGATGTATGGCTTCTGCAGCGTCAAGGACCCCCAGGCCGTGCTCCCCAAATATGTCCTCGTCAACTGGGTGAGTCTGGGGGCCATGCTGTGCTGTGTCCACAGGGATATGGCTGGGTGTGAGGGAGCTGGCAGTGGTCAGAGGCTGTGGGCCACAGTCCTGCTGCCCCTCTCAGCTCAGTCCCTCCCTGGCTGCCACAGGTGGGTGAGGACGTGCCGGACGCCCGCAAATGCGCCTGTGCCAGCCACGTAGCCAAGATTGCCGAGTTCTTCCAGGTGGGTGACGCTGGGGAGGGGCAAGATGTTGCCAGGGCACTGATCCTGAACCCTGATGGCTGCTTGCACGCCCCCAGGGTGTCGATGTCATCGTCAATGCCAGCAGCGTGGAGGACATTGACCCAGGGGCCATCGGGCAGCGGCTCTCCAACGGGCTGGCCCGTGTCTCCAGCCCGGTGCTGCACCGCCTGCGGCTGCGCGAGGACGAGAACGCCGAGCCCGTGGTAATGGCCCCATGGCAGCGCCGGTGATGGTGGCGGGATTGGGGCGTGCCTCCCGCCCGGGGCTCCTGTCTGCTGCGGCCCCTCACCCCGTGTGCCGCTGTACTGTTACCCCCCCTCGCTGATCCCAGCCCCTCCACCCTCCCTGCCTCTCCTCCGTCCCAGGGCACCACTTACCAGAAAACGGATGCCACCGTGGAGATGAAGCGGCTCAACCGGGAGCAGTTCTGGGAACAGGCAAAGGTGGGATACGGAGGGACAGTGATAGTCCCCACGGAGCGGGGTGAGCTGCTGGGCAGCCCCTTCATTCATCCTCCCCACCAGAAAGAGGAGGAATTGCGTAAGGAGGAAGAGCGGAAAAAGGCCCTGGATGCCCGGCTGCGGTTCGAGCAGGAGCGGATGGAGCAGGAGCGGCTGGAGCAGGAGGAGCGGGAACGGCGCTACCGGGAGCGCGAGGAGCAGATCGAGGAGCACAGGCAGGGCTGGGGTCGGGTGGGACGTGGGTACAGGATGGCTGCACACGTGTTGTGAGTGGCGGGGTGGGCGCGTGGGTGTCCCCCCCAGGGTGGGGTTCGGGCAGGAGCCGATGCCCAGCGCCTCTCCCGTTTCCCCGCTGCAGGCGGAAGCAGCAGAGCTTGGAGGCTGAGGAGGCCCGGCAGCGCCTGAAGGAGCAGTCCATCTTCGTAAGCGCCATGGCGGGACTGGGGCCAGGATCGGAGCTGGGGCTGCCACTGGCATTACCCCCAGGGAAGGGCTTTCCCCAGCTGGGTGCCCGGGGCTGGGAGGTGATGCTGTGTTTCTTGCCAGGGGGACCAGCAAGATGAGGACGACAGGCAGCAGTTTAGGAAATCGGAGTCAGAGGTGGAGGTGAGTGCATTGATGGCCATGCCCGGTGCTGATCCTCACTCCCCATCCAGCAGTGCCCACAGCTAGCTGGGAATGAAGCTGTGGGTTGCATGGAGAGTGGCCCCACAGCCCCAGGCCACTGGGGTGGTGGGGCTCAGCCTCGCCCATCCCCACAGGAGGCTGCTGCCATCATCGCTCAGCGGCCTGACAACCCCCGGGACTTCTTCAAGCAGCAGGAGCGGGTGGCATCAGGCAGCAGCGATGCTGTCTCACCAGGCAGCCACAGGACAGGTGAGGAGCTGCGGGGGGGCTGCGGGCACAGGGGTGGGCACCAGGAGACCAGGGCCCAGGTGAGTGCAGTCAGCTCAACGGGTTGCAGTGGGGTGTGGAAAGACCAGGGATGCAATGTGGGAAGGGGATGTAGCCTCTGCCATCACTGGCACTGTGGTTCTGGGTGGCAAGGGTATGAGGATGGCAGGGGACATCCTGCTCTGCTGTGCCACCATCACTGCCACCATCACCGCCACTGCCACTGCACCTCACGTGGCCCCTGCAGCTGGGGCAGCTTCTCAGAGGCTGGATGTCAGGTTGTCTTCAGCAAAATGGGGCTCACCCTGCTCCCTGCTGGGTGTTGTCCACTCCCGTGTCATAGCACTGTGCCCACAGCCAAGTTGGCAGCGTGGTCGGTCCGTAAGGGTGGGCAACTGGAGGTCCAGGGATGGCTTGGGAATACATCCCATGGTGACAGCTGATAGAGGCAGGAGAGAGTGAGGCAGATGTGGGGTGCTCAGTGTGCTGCCAGCTGGCAAGGAGTGCCCCATGGAGAAGCTGGGCTGCCCCACAGCCTGGGGCCCAGTGCTGGGACTCTTTTTGTGAATCTAGGGAAGGACTGTCTGTCCTGGTGGGTGCCTCCAGCCATGGGGCCGTGTCATGGTGCTGTGCTGGGGGGCTGTGCCGTGGGGCTGTGCTGGGAGGGAGCCTGTGACGTGTGTTCTTGTGTGGTGTGCCATGGGTTGTGCCATGGGCTGTGCCGTGGGGATGTGCTGTGGGGTTGTGCCGTGGTGCTGTGCCTTGGGGCACTGCTGTGGGGTTGTGCCGTGGGTCGTGCTGTGGGCTGTGTGTTCTGGCCATGCCGTGGGCTGTGCCGTGGATTCACGCTGTGGGGCTGTGCTGTGGCTGAGCAGATAGTTGGTCCCACGGCCGTGTCCTGGCCTCTCTCCCCACCTGGCCAGGCAGTGCTGCCTCACATCCTTCTGTCCTGCTGCCTTTCCATCCTCTTGTCCTGCCATTCTCCCACCATGCTGCCTTCCACCCTGCTGTGCTCCCATCCCGGTGCCCTGGTGCTCCAGCCCCGCCATGACTGCGCCAAGCAGGGACTGACCCATCTCTTTGCTCTCTCTCTCTTTCTCCGTCCGTCCGTCTGTCTGTCTTTCTCTCACAGGTCGTCTGCACTGTCCTTTCATAAAGACAGCTGACAGTGGACCACCTTCTTCCTCCTCCTCCTCCTCCTCCCCCCCACGGACCCCCTTCCCCTATATCTCCTGCCACCGCACTCCAAATCTCTCCTCTTTCTTCCCATGTAGGTAGCTGGGAGCTCCCGGGCGTGCAGCTCCGGGGGTCGAGCCGCGGGCAGCTGCCCCCCAGCCCACCCAGCCCCACGGCACACCGGACCGGCAGCGGCGGCAGCGCGGGCACCCCGAGGGGGATGGGCACCCCGAGGGAAACGGGCACCCATGTGGGGACAGTGCTCCTGCTAGGGCTGGCCCCAAGCTGGTCACTGTGCCCCTGGTGGGGGGACTTAGGGCTGGCTGTGCCCATGGGTCAGATGGGGACAGGGTAGAGCTGTGCCTGGAGAGGTGGTGGTCCACAGTGGGATGGATTAGATTGTGCCCATGGGGTAGAGTGGGCACAGGGCAGGCTCTGCCCGTGGGGCAGCTGTGGAGAGGACAGCTGTGCCCTGGATCGTGCAGCAGCGTGCCCATGGGGCAGGGTTGGGCAGCGTGGAAAAGTCTGCGCCAGAATCCCATGCTGATGGGGCAGAAGGGAAAGGGACATCTCTGCCCTGGACCATGCAGGTCCCAAGCTGGACCATGCTGTGCCCAAGGGGCAGCATTTGGCAGTGTGGAAAAGGCTGTGCCCAGGATCATGTGAGGCTGTGCCAATGGGGCAGAAGGGGATGGAACATCTGTGTCATGGACAAGACTGCCAGACTGTCCACAAGACAGCATGGAATGGGAAAGGCTGTGCCCAAAAATGTGTGGGGCTGTGCCAGTGAGGCAGAAGGGGCCAGGTGGTTCCAGGGGCCGTGTAGGGCTGTGCCCCCACAGGCACAGTTGACAGGGCACACAGAACTGTGCCCACAAAGGCTGTGCCAGGGCACAGCCGAGAGATGCGTGAGCAGAGCCAGTGTGCACCGTGGCAAGTATGGGGCCACCTGTCCCCTTGCCCAGGAGATGTGGGGGCTGAAACTCATGGGGGTGGTGGAGACACCTGGAGCCTCCACCCCACCACCCAGGAGGGGACGACGTGGTGGCAGGTACACAGTGACGTGCACTTGGCAGCTCACAGCTGGGTTGGTGTGGGGCAGGAGCAATGCTGGGGTGCTGGTTCCCCTCCTCAACGTGGGCAGCCCCCCCACACCACCCCATCTCCCTTGTCTGCAGGCAGCCAGTCGGACGCCTTCCGCAAGGCCTCGGCAGCGGGCTGCAGCCCCTGCGAGTCCAGCCCGGCCGCCACGCCGCTGGGCGAACCGGGCACCCGCGCGCCCGCTGACCAGATGCCGGCAACGCCCAAAGGTGGGCGCAGGGCTGGCGCTGCCTCCCCCTGCCCAGGGCTGCCAGGTGCATCCCCACTGCAGCCCCCTTGATCTGCTGCAGCCCCGCCAGCCGCGCTTGCATGGCTCAGTGCATCCATGCTGTCCCACCCGCGTCCCCTGGAATATCCCGCCTGCTTCTGCTGTGCCCCACAGCGCATCCCTGCTGCAGCCCCTTGGCTCTGCTGCAGCCGCTGCAGCTGCCCGTGCATGGCTCAGTGCATCCATGCATCCCTCGGCATATCCCCGCTATCTCTGCCGTGTCCCCCAGCACGTCCCCACCGTACCTGCTGCTCTGCGCCGCTGCATCCCCGCCGTCTCTGCTGCATCCCCCAGTGCAGCCTCACTGTCATTGCTGCACCCCTACCACCTCTAGTGCATTTTCTACCTCCAGTGCATCCCTGCTGTCTCTGCTGCACCCCATGCCATGCATCCCCCCATCTCTGGTGCATTCCCCCTGTTCCATACATGCTGGCCCTCCCTGCTGCATCCCCCAGGGCACCCCTGCTGTCTCTGCTGGGTCCCCCAGTGCGATGCTGCCCAGTCTGCCCCATCCTGCTGTACATCCTTTCCAGGGTTGCTGTATCCCTCTGTGCATCCCCTCTGCCCCACTGCATCCCCAGGGCACCCCAGCCAGCTCTGCTGCTGTCACCATGTGTCCCTGCTGCATCCCCACGGGCCCCTTGGAATCCTCTGGTGCATCCCAGCTTTCCCTTCTCCATCTTCTTAGGGCACCTCTCCCGTTCCCTCCACAGCCCTTTCTCCCTCCTTTCCACTCACAAGGGATCACCTTGTCCCTCCCTGTGTCCCCTCACTTCCCAGTGCATCCCACAATCCCCTCCCTGCCCAGCCACCCCACCCATCCTTGCAGCATTCCCCATACCATGCCCAGTCCAAAGGACTCCAGACCCCCCTGAGCTGCATCCCTGTCCCTGGTGACCCCCAACGAGGTTGTTTGTCCCCACTGACTGCTGTCCCCTCCTTGCAGAATCCCCCAGCCCCAGCGCGCAGGAGCCCGGGCCAGCCACGCCCGAGCAGCACTGGCCCTTCCCGGGGCCCGAGGACAAGGCCATCGAGCCCCCCGGGGACGAGCCCAGTCCCAGGCCAGTGTGGACAGCGGGGGGTGATGCCCTGGGGGACCTGGTGACCCTGGAGCCCACCGAGCCCTCCCTGC